TAAATATTAATTTGAAAATAATATTTTTTGTTCACATTATACGCATCCGCGTATAGTACGCCCCGTTATATTTTTCAGAAAAATCACTTTTTTTCTCAGATAATCCGCAGATTATACCCGCATATTCAGGGTATGTTAAAGTAACATTCCAAAAGTAAAAATTAAAATTATTATGACAGTAGTATTTTATTATTTTACAAAAAAAACTAATTTTTCAAAAAATATAATTTTATATTTCACAACTGTTTATTATTTTTAGAAACTATTTTAGAAGTTTTGCACGTACGTATATTTAAATTAACATGATATTTAATATATTTCTAGTTTAATATTTAAAATGATTTTATATTATTAATGGTAATGTTAGATAATGTTACCATAATAAATATTTCGCATTCGAATTTCGCAATTGCACATTTACTATACTGACAATAATATACATAACTTAATTTATATACTGAATATGTTTTTATTTAATTTGTAAAGGATATTGGATATTTAAATTCAAGGATTGTTATCCTAACAAAAGTTTAAAACTTTTGTATTAAGTTATTGCATATTTCATGCTATTATATAAGCAATTAGTGTTATAACTTATAAGCTATTACAATATAAACATTATCAATAACAAATAACTATAACAAATCAAATTTCCGAAATCAAAAATTGCATAAACAAAATATTTTTGAGATGATTATTATGTAACAATAACGTGTCTGACTATATTATTTGTGTATAACAAAAGTAGTAAACATTTGAATTTATTTATTTCTCACTTATTTAGTATATTAAACATATGTTTTAACTAATGTCTTAGTAATTTATATTAAATATAAACTATAAAATAAAACAAATTTATACTATACAATAAAACAAATATATTTTATATTATAAAACAAATTTTGTGAATGTATAAAATAAATAAACTATAGACATAGCCATACGGTTTATTTATTTGCTTCATAAGTTTGCAAAAAATTAAGTAATTTAACATTCAACTATATACGTACTAAATTATTGTAAATATATTTTATTATTTTTATTAACAGGGACATTAATCATCATGGAGCAAGACAATCCCCGCGCCAACTATATTATTAATTTTTACAACTTTATTAATCATATAAATCTTTCACCTAGATTCTTGCAACTATTACAATCACATACATGTGCTTATATGCTTGCTAATAATCAGGTAAATAAATAATTTAATATAAAAATTTATAATTTAGTAATTTCATAATAATTTTTTAAAAACTAAAACTTAATATAAATAATCAAATAATTTATAAATGCAAAAAATTATTTTACTTTTTTACAAACACATAGCGTTATAATAAATAAAATAAACTATTCTTACAATAAACTAGATATTTATCACATAAAATAGTATTGTATCTATCAACCTTTAAATTTTTTAAATTTTATATGTTTTGTCTATTAGCAACTCACGGATGAGGCTAAAAAGGTGTTTATATTTTTGGAGTTCACCAGGGACAGGGATCCATGTAATAAGCTTGCTGAAATATTGGCAGAGTCGGGGCAGTCGGGTGCCGCCCAACAGCTCCGGGAGTATAATAAGTCTGAACAGCCCATGGCCTACCAAGATCAAATTAACTTGGATGTTAACCGAGCTATTATATTACGTTCAGCCACCACACGATGGTAAGTTGTAATAATGAGTCAATTTAGTTAGCTATTATAAATTTTGTAATATAAAATAATCTATTTATTTTATAATACATGTGTTAAAAAAGTTAAAATATTTTTGCTGATAATTTATTTAATAGCTAAAAAATAAAAGTAACTTAAAGTACAAAATGAATTTTTTCATACGTACCAGTTTATAGTTATTTATTTAATACATTTTACTAGCAATTATGGGTTAATTAGCAATTAATACATTCATTAATTGAGTTAAATACCTTTTTAAAATTAGCTAGCTTATAATACTAAATTAAAGCTATAAAATTTTAATTACAAGTAATTTTAATATCAATTTATTATAATAATGCAGGTATAAAATGGACTCCAACCCCCGTGGTAGAGCTGTCATATTTGTCCAGGATATAAAGTACACCAACGAGCCTATAGTGGTCAAGCTGGACAATGAGGGATTAAGATTCAAGCACATTTATAATGAGCATACTAAATGAGTATGCTACTTCCGAACACCCTGGTGACTCATTCATTATGATGTTCACTGGGCATGGATTTGATGGCAAAATTACGAGCAATGACAATTACGAGCATGATGTCTTACCTATTCAACATGCGCTAGATGTGTTTTCCGAGAAAAATTGTTCGGCATTACAAAGCAAGCCTAAAGTGTTCCTGTTCAATTGTTGCCGCGAAAGTGTGTAATTATAAGTTATAATTTAATATGAAATTTTGATTATTTAATTTAATTGTACTAGAGCCAAATCATCAAACACCAGCTAAAATTGTGGATGGTACCTGGAAAAACAAAAATAAACGCACGTTTATCACGTACAGTTGTGCCCGGGGTATTATCGTAAATTATGATTCATAATAATTTTAATTTAATGTTTTAATCTAACCCATTTTGATTAATCTAGGCTATTTAGCATATTGCAACGGGAATGCCAAGTATACGTACTTTGGGCGCGCCTTAAGCCATACCATGGCTCAGTTTGCAAGCTATAAGAGTCTGGATGAGATCATCAAAAAGGTATTAAAGTTTACTTGTTGAAATTTTAAAAACATAAAAATAAATTATGATTTAATAGACAACCGCGCGATTGGAAATTGATTTGCAGGTGGTGAGGGAAATGGATCCCACGGATGACAACCAACACAACCCGGAGTTTCAAACGTTCGGCGTTCAAAAGGATTTGTTTTTTAACCCGGGACTATGAAGTTTTATGATTTTAAGTTTGCCTTGAATATTAATTTAAATTCTAAACACAACTATTTGTATTTTGAATTTAAATTCGTGCGTATTACTTTTTTATTTTTATAAACACGGTAAACTTTATAGCTTACTTTTTAACGTAATCATATACAATAAAATAGTTTACACTTTTTTATTTGTAATCTCAAAGTTAGTTTTAGTTAAATCAATGCAAATAAATGATTTATTTTGTATTTTAAAATTTTTTATTTGAAACATTTATTAATCAAATAATGATACATGAATGTATAATCTTTTGTAACAAACCTTTTAACAAATAGTTTATTAATAAATGATAATGCTAGTTGTTGATTAATTTTTATTGTATGATTAAAACTATTATTAAATTCAACAATAATATCAGTTGTGGTTAAGCCTTCATATTCCTCTTAATTTGATATTAAATCAACAAATTTATCAATACTTTTAACATTAATGACTGACATTTTTAAAACGTCCAACCTAAACAAATAATCACCATTGTAATTGCCAATTACTAATTGATATTCATAAATCATTGAAGATTTTAATAAGTACGTACATAAAATAATTGCAATAACCTTCCTAACTATCCAATATAAATAGTATTTATTATGAATTAATATTGGATAATATAAATCACACTGTTAGTGTACTTAATAAATTGTTCATAATTGTATAATTGAATAACACTAACCTGATTTTTTTTAAATGATTCAAATTTAATTATTAGCAGACATATATTTTTATATTTTATTGTTGAAAACATAAAATTTTAATTTAAGCATACATTCGGATAAGAATTTATCTAACCTACCGATACTTTTAAAACAATCAAATGTCAATATAATATATATTTTCATTATATCTGTTAGGGGAATATGAAACCATTCATTATGTATTACCGAACATTAAGTATTTGTTGTATACAAAATTTATATTAAAAATTTTACAAAAAATTACCAAATAATAATAATAATAATAATGGTTTATTGAATTTAAGAAGTACTCTTAAATAATACAATAGTATCATAAAAACAGATTAATTTCTTTAACAAACAAATTATATTTAGTAATACATCTAATATTTTT